CAGTGATTGGGATCAGTGGTCTTCTGTATTTTACCTAAATGTGAATGTCCCCTGTTTTTGAAGGCTATATAAATGCCATTAGTGAAATCAAGTGTTATGAGGGTATGACCTTGGTTGCAGTTTTCTTCTCTTCCTTGGGGGCATCTCTCAACCTTGCAGCCTGTCTCTTTTCCATGTATGCTATGCCAAGCACATTGAACATCAGTGTCCAGGCCCAGATTAGCAGAGTGTTTAGGGGCAGGTGGGCACAGCAGAACCTCAGTTCTGTGGAAGGACAGTGGGGCCCAGTGCTGAGTCTACTGCACATGGTTAGGAAGTATCCCAAAGTCCAAGGGAGGAGGGAGAGGGGTGGTTAGGAGAAGTAAAGAGCTGTGTCTTGGAGGTTGTGTGATACATTCAAGGTTGGGAAGGGTCTATAGTTTCATAGGCATTGAAATAACATCTAGAGAAGAAGAGACATTCCTTCCAGGAACAGCCTCCAACAGAAGTGCTGCCATGGTTCTGTGAAAATTTTACCTGAACTTCACAGATGTTGAAGCTGATAAATAAGGGCTGTAACTTTTACCCCTGTTGACACATTTTATACCTACCAAAGTGGTCTTACTGTCCCCATCGGTACAAATTTCTTTTTCTGACTGAATGTCCCCAAATTTCTTTTTCTGTCCATTTCAGGAACAAGAACTGAATTAATATAAGGCTGAAAGTTAAAAGTCATTTTCCACCACCAGCAATTAAGACCTTGCCTATTGTTGCCAGTGTGTTGATTTGAAGCTGAGAAGTCTGATATCATTCAGAATATTTAGAACAAGAAAAGATGAAAGAAAGAAAAGGGAAAGAGTTCATGCTTTTATTCTTCTCCTTCTACTCTTTATGCAATTTTTAACCTTGAGATTGTTAAATTTCAATAGGAAATATTTTAAATTTTTATGACTATATTAAATAAATCTTTTCTCTCTTATGACTCAAACTTCAGGACAGCTTTGGCCACAGTGTTTTAGTTTATTTTTCCCCAGTCTCTTTTTCTGGAGCCACAGGACCATAACACATTTCTTGGGTCTCTTATTCACAGTACTCCAAGTTGTCTCTGGATTTTCCTTTTAGTTCAGTTGTATGTTGTTCTGGAAAATTCATCAGCTGTTTTTCTTTGGTATTGCTCTGGTTATAATTTTGTCAAAACAAGAACACTCAGAGGGGAAATAACAGTAGTGGACAGGGCTTTACTGCTAACTGCCAGGCAGTACCTAGGGCCTTCCTGGGGCAGGCACATGATCCAGCTCTCCATTTGAGCTTTTAAAAAACAACTTTGCTGAATACTTTTAGTCTGGAGTAGCTGGTTGTCTTCCTTTTCACAGCATCTTGCCCTTGCAACGTGGAATCATACCTTCAGGGGTCTCTGAGGATATCTGCAGTCAGCTTCACTGCAGCAGGCAGAAGGGGTCTGTAATACAATGCACATTCTTGGATCCCCTTTCCTGGCTTCATCCAAGGCCTCTTGCCCATGTTTCCTGCACACATCGCAATTCTTGGTTGGATCTGTGCAGCCAGCAGAGGGTCTAGGCTGGGGAGGCCCAGCTTCCTGTAGACTCTGGCACCAAGACCTTGGAGGTGGCCACACAGGCTGCCCATTGGTGCTTGAGGCCACTGCCAATGCAGCTTCCCTCCAGCTCTGGCCCATGGTCCTCTCCAACATCTTAAGGCCAAGTCTCCTCTGGTCAGGGGCACCGGTGGGACAGCAGGACTGTATGCCCTGCACCAGCATTCCCAATGGCCCAGAGACTGCACTGATGGGAGCTCCAGGGTACAGCACCCTGAGAACACAAGCCACTACATTTAATAATCATGCTCTTTGCCAGCTGAATAACACATCCTCATCCTTAGCCTTCATTTCCATGTGAACCGTTTATATTCAGTTTGGAAAATCCTTCCATGTTCTAGTCTGCTGGTGCCTCTTCCTGGTAGCCCAGGGATACTGTTTATTTTATATTCCTTCTATCAAGAAATGGCTGTGCAGGATCTGGTTATTTCCAGAGAGGAGCAAAATGAATTGCCTGGAGGGAGCTCACCAGGGTGAGATGACTTGTTACATGCAGGCTTTTGTCATCTGGAGCCCAGGCCACCAAAATGAAAGGAAGATTCTGGAAGCATTATTGACCAGGACTGATGCCACTATTTCTTTTTTACTTAAAATGTCTGTTGACACAGAAAGTATATCATCATAAGTATCAGTGTACCCATCACCAGCCCAGTGACAGGACAGGTGTCTAGGAGGATGGTGAGAAGTTTCTTTTCCATGGAGACATCTACTTGAGTGTTAATAGGCAGTGTGGCTCCTGCAGTGTGATTCTTGGAGCTGGGCTGTGCTTACAGAAGAGGTTACATCGTCCAAAATATTCATGAAACTTACACTAATGATACAACCTGTTCTTGGTATGGCTGTCTCATAGGGAATTGCTCCAAATGTCTGAGAGATGGAACAGATGTTCCTACTCACAAACACACTAGCAATGCTCCAAGGAGCCACATGCTTGGTTTTAAACATTTACTTGGACAAATTCAAAATTACAAAGGGCAGCTGAGGTTAATGTCCTGGAAACTCAGTGTAAGTGATGGTCTGGAGAATTAGGTGGCTGTAGAATCCAATCATTCATTTTCAGATTTCCTTCTGGGAACTGATTCTTCCTGCAGGTTTGAAGTTAATGATATGGCTTTATCAATGGGGTACAGGTTCTTTATTATTTTCTAGCTCTGGGGCTACTCATTCACAATCAGCCATGAATTATTAACAAGTTCTACATTGGGGCAGGCTGTAAAAGGGTGCACTGGACAAGCCATTGGTCTGCACACTAAGGGGAAGGACTAGTATTAATCCTACAGTGAGGTGGATTTTCTTGACTGTAAAAAGCACCCGAGAAAACCAGTTGATAAGGAGGGTTGATTTTGGCTCATGATTGCGGAGTGCTCAGTCCATGGTTACTTGGTGTCATTGATTTTTGGGGATCAGGGTGAAAGAATGAAGATGCTCATCTCATTGTGGTCTGAAGTGAAGGCTAACAGGAAGATGAGGGAGTGGTCTCAACATCCCTTCCAGTGTACACCCCAATAATCTAACTTCCTTCCACCAGGCCTTCCTACTAAATGTCCCACTGCTCCCTAACAGCACTATGGACAGGCAACCAAGCCTTCAGCAGGCAGGCCTTTTCAGGGACACCTCAGGTCCATGATGTCCCTGGAGCTCGGCGAAGGAACATGGCAAATCTTCCTGCATGGTCTGAAACCTGTGTGAGAATCAGAGGTGCCCATCAGATGGCAGCGTGAGTACGGGCTGCCTGCAGGGAAATCTCTGAATTGGTCACTTTCACTCCTTTTAGCAGCAATCACTGTGCGTGTGTCTCTTTATGACACATTGTCATTTTTTACCTTGCTGGACCAGAATGCTTTAGTTTACTTCTCTTTCAAAAAACCAATCTATCCTACCCCAATCAGCATTATGAGATAAATTTTAGGATACAGCTTAACTCTCAGACAGGTCCCGTGTCAGACTGCGTGGAATGTGACACTTTATCATTTAGTGTTCATTATTCTCAGGATTGCACCAAATGTGACAGACACGTGACATGTGGCTGCGACCTCCTCCTCACTTGTGTGGTTGGCAGAAATCACCAACCTGTCCCTCAGGACTTCCATGACATCACCAATCCACTCCCACACCTTCCATTGTCACTGAGCCTGGAGTCAGCCTTAGGACCCTTTTCACCATAGTAGCACAGTCAGTAACGTCAAACAGAGTTGGCACCCTGGTCCCTGTGATTTATCCCAGCCTTATTCAATGCTCTGTAATGACTGGAGCTCAGGCAGGGGTAACATGATACACGAGTGCCATAGTGTACACTTCCCAGTGGCCAGATATACACAGACACCTGGGAGTACAGGACACTCATGCAGGTGGGGCGACACAGACAGGAACAGGCATAGGCTAAGGAAACCCAAGGAAGTGTGGTTATCACATAGCACTGGTCGAGAACCAGCGAAAGGAGAAATCTGGCTATGTGCACTCCCGAGGCCACCATACCTCTCTTCCCTATGTCCATAGGCGGATGATCTAGTCTCCTGTCGCTCTGGCACCAGTGGTCACTCCATTAACTTGCTAACCTGCTGGTGAGTGCACAGGGACTCCAACCCCGCTCAGTGGAATGTGAGAATGCACACTCTGATTTGGGAGTCACACAACACATGCCGATTGTCATTTCATGGAAATTTACCATCTCTCGACTCAGCCCCAACTTTGCACCTTGAGTCTATAGCAAGTAGACATCCAGAAGTTTTGAAGAGATTACTAGCACAATAGCAATTACGATAATAAAGATAAATTAGTTACATTTACCAAGCACTTGCTGTGCCTCAGGTACACAATAAGCACCCTCCAAGCATTAGTGCAGTTCCCTCTCCCAGTGACTTTACAGGTAAACACCAGTGCCTCACAAAGACTCAGTGTGTTTAGCAAGATTAACTGGTGTGCCCAAGGTCACAGAGACCGTAAGTGGTAGAGCCCAGATTCTAACCCAGGTCCATCTTCTCTGTTACTGTTACTTCCGGGGGCTCTTCTGTGTATCATGATTGGTCTGATAGGACATACATGTGATAAGGATAAATTATCAAGGAGCTGGGTCGCAGGAAATATTTTTCTGAGATTACTTGTACAACTCCATTCTTTATATGCTGGAAAAGTTGATCTCTGAAACTGCTTTATTACTTTTCTAGATTATCCAGGTTTGCTGATGTGTGGGATACCACAACTATCTTATAGAGAATGTGAAGCGGATTTTGGGAGTGGTCACCTTAGCAGGGGCAAGGTGCCCCGAATGTTGTGTCTTCTGAAGATGAGTGAGTAGGTGCTCAGGAGTGTCCCATGGGGATCTGCACCCATTCCACCATGAGCTGCACCTTCTCACCATGTCCACGCGCACCCAGCACCCAGCTGTGGCCAGGCAGCAGCCACTCACCTTCGCACTGCAGCAGGAAGTAGTCAGCGCTGTGGCTGAAGGAGGCGCTGAAGTAGGTGCAGTTCTCCACCAGGTCACACGACAGGCACTGCCTGTTGAAGTTGCCCACTGTGTTGGCACTGGAAGACAAGGACCCAGAATGAACCAAGGAAGTGGGGCACCGTCTGTGGTCAAGGTCAGACTCCCGGTGAGTGCTCAAGCCAAGTGACATCTCTTTTACAAGGACCCTGCCACTGCCTTCACTGGGCCTCACTCCCACCTATCTGCTTGGGGTGCCAGAATCACCCAGCTCGATCCCACCATGCTCAGCCCCCTCCCCTCTTGGAGTTTTCAGCATCTGTGCTCCTGGAACAGCTGGGCTCGTACCTGCACACCTATGGCTCAGCTCTGAGCCTGGGAGGGCACACTCAGCCCTGAGTGTGTGAGTGTGCTGCTCTGAGCATGTGACAGTGTGCTGTTGCTTTGTGCTTCCCCCTAGTGCTATGCCTCCCTGTGTGCCATGTTCCGAATGAACAATAGGTAACTTGAGAACAGGAATAATTTCATAAAGGGCAGAAGTCCAGGGACACAAGCTGACCCTGGTTGTTTCCAAACCTGCTTCCCAGTGGATGGTGAGGGATGTAAACAGTGCTGTCTCCCCAGCATGGAGTTGGGTAGATAGGGATGAGTTTGTGGATACCACAGGGACTGCCCTGGTCAAGTATAGTGTCATGTGAGAAGGGCTCTGAGTCCCCCTACAGGGGATGCATGTATCCTGGGAGAAGCTTTCATTGCACGTCAGCTCAGGAAGAGGCCACTGTAACCACAGACTCCAGCATCGAGCCCACCTTTGCAGAGCCGAGACTTTCATGGGTCGAAGGTGACATCTGGTGCTATTTGCTGTACACAGGCTAAACAGGGTGTTTTCTCTTTATACACAGACTCAGTGGCTGTATTCCAAGGACCCTAGCAGGTGTGCAAGTGTATGACCACAGGCACTCACCAGGGGTTTATCCTGCCACTTGCACCCCGTGGGCCAGCTTTATATTCTCAGGCGGGAGCCCAGAGGGTTGAGGGGAGATGGCCATGCATCTAGGCTCCTCTGCCCTCCCTGCATTGGACAGAGGCTTACAGGCACTGGCCCCACCCAGACTTTCAGGCAGTAGCCTCAAGTCCTCTGATCTGGGAAGCATCTAGGAGGCATCTTTGGTCCCTCTTCTTCTGCCATCCAGGCAGAAGCACCCAGGGCCTTCTCAGTTCTGGGATAGGTAACAGGGTTCTATGCTGACAGAGACCTCAGGTCTAGCTCTGTCCAGGCTCTGTGCACCTCTGTGAAATTCACAGCTTGCTCAGAGTTCATGGAGCTTGTGCAAAGTTGCACAGCAAGTGTGCAAGAGACGAGGACAGTACACTAGCTCCCATCCCAGCCCACCAGCCCCAATCCGGATGCTGCTATACTCTAACACTGAGAATGACCCTCAAGTCCACACTTGGATACAGATTCAAGGAAAGACTGTGACGCCCACCCATTGTCAAGAGGGGGCGAAGCAGTGTGGAGAGGCCTTTCATCCAACCAAAGCAGGCAAACTGAATGAAGGTTCAGGTATTCAGGCTCCTCTCCAAATGTTAGAGCTACCCCACCCCAGGTCCTCTGTGTGCTGAGGGGTGCAACCCTGTCCCACAAGTGGGGCCCAGAGGAGGGAAGCCCCATGTGCCCGAGTCCAAGCTACCTGTACAACTGGCGTCTCTGTGGCAGGTCCTCTGTGCTCAGGAAGTAGCTGCAGAGGTGGGAAGATGCACAGGTTAGCTGTCCAGTGCATGCCAGGTACCACCCTACAGTGTCCCAGTGAGGCTGCAATTCCCTGGTGATGCCAGCAGCCCAGCCCTGAGGCCAGGGCAAGTTTCTCAGCCCCAGGTCCCTCCTGCCCTGGACTTGCCTTGGAGCTATGGGTCCTGTTTCAGGGTGATGGGCACCTGATTCTGGACCTGGGAGTTTCTTCCCCAGAGCAGTGACCACATGGAGGACAAAGGCCCCAAACACTTTTCACAGGGGTGAAGTATGGCCCAGTAAATACTCCTTGCCTGACTTCCCTGAGACTCGGACGCTGCCCTTGTGTGAGTGGGACTCAGAAGCTTCCGGGCTTTGTGCTGGGGCCTGGGCTCCCGCCATCTTGGCTCAATCCTAGCTCTGCCAGGGGCCATCTGAGGAACCTGGGGTGGGTGACTCAGCTGCTCTGAATTTGGGCTTATTTAATTTAAAAACGGGAAAGTAAGGAGCCCGCCCTGCGCAGCTATGAAGCGAGGCATCACTTGCGATGCATTCGGCATTGAGCCCAGGACAGCAGAGACCCAAGGAGATCTGGACAGTGCTGCCACCGTGAGGCAAGTGGGGCCTCATGGGATGGGCACGGGCTTCACTCTGTGCCTTGCAGAGAGGCCGGCTGTTGAGACGGAGGTGTGCCTGGGCAGCTGGTAGCCCGTGATTGCTGCCCAGCATGGAAGTATAAGAAGACCGGGAAGTGCAGATGGGCCTGCTGGTCAGGAAGATGGCGTCCTGGGACACAGCCCAATGTCACTCACATCTTACTGCGCTTCTCATCATAGGACAGGATCTTGGTCACATCCCAGTCCCCAGAGGTGATGGACTGGATGTTGTCATTGCTGCTGTTGGGCTGAAACAGAGAGATGGGGTCAGGAGCCCAAAAGGACTTGGCTGCCACCTCAAGTTGCCTTCATGTCACCCCTCTGCCCATTCAGCCTCTCTGCATTGGGTGACAGCCGTGCTGGGGCCCACAACTCTAGTGCTGGTGCCTGGAGCCCACCCCAGACCTTCCAGCTGCTCCACAGAGTCAGGGGTTTGTGTGCTGCTAGGTGGCAGGTGCTTGCCTCTCTGTGACTCTACAGGCCTGCAGGGAGGAAGGAGAGAGGAGGGTAAGGGTTCGTGAGATTGGGCGAAAAGCCCACACAGGTATAGAGGAGGGAAGATAGGCAGTCTGCTCTGCACTCTGCGGCCCAGGTGGGGTGACTGGTGTGTATTTCACACACACACTCCCCGGGTGCTCCCAAGAGCCAGGCCCCACCATCAGTATTAATCATCACCAGGTTCTGGACACCAGGTATTCGGGGAAGGGGGTGGGAGGCAGGTGCCCAGCAGCTGGAGATTAAGGTAGGTGAAGAAGGGCTGGTGGGCCAAGGCCTGGAGTAGGGTGGGCAAGGATCTGGGGGTGGAGGTGGACCTGGTGGAGGCAGTCACTGCATCCTCTAGGGGATCCTGGGCCCAGGGCCGGAGTGGGTGCCGTGGGCAGGGTGGGATCTGTTTACGGCCGCGTATGGATGGAGGTCTCAGCAATGCTGACCATCTGAATTAATTCAGAGACTGAATAAAAACATCTAATTTTTAAAAACACATTTCAAATGACCCCAAATGAGGAAGAAAAGGAATTTGGCTCTGGAGGATGAAGACGGGAACAGTAAATGGATGGGGGCAGTTTAAAGGCTGGAAGTCAGCAGCTGGAAGATGAGACCCTTTCTCTCTGAGAAGCTTTGGGGTCTCTCCTACTCCTTCCCTGCTGCTCTTAGGTGAGTGTTCTTGGATTTTCCTTCTTTTTTGGAATTGGTTTTGGGCCACATCATAAACACAAGCCCCCTACTTCAAAGCCATGGGATACTTTGATCGACCTTTTCTCTGTTCACTTGTTCTGACCTCAAACAATTTGAAGTGATTTCCAAATGAACCCCAGAAAGAATAGAGTGTGCGACCTTGAGGAGCCGCAGGTCCACATTCACTCTGCCTAAGAGCAGCAGCAGCAGCACCTCCCAGGTCCTCTCTGGGAAGGGAAGGTGTCTACTGAGAAGCCTACTTTGAGGTCTGAGTCCACGAATGATGATCGCTGACATCTTGGCTCAGAGATGCTCACTCACCAGACCCCACAGTCAGGCGCTTGGTGAGAGGAAGCCACTACATCATAAAGCTGGAGCTGCCTCTGGCTCCTGGGGTGGGAGGGTGTAAGGCACAGTTGACCCCTCAAAGTCCTGGTTGTACCCAGCCATGTCCAGTGCCCCCTGCCATTGCCAGATGTGCCCTTTCCAAACCAAAGTTCTCTGAGCAGAACCTGCTCTGCTAGGAATCTCTGTCCTTGGATCTGATGGCTCCACAGCTCTAGCACAGCCTTGGTAGCCAATGTGAGTGACACCTCTGGGGCTATTTAGGCTCCTGAAAAGGACACGCATGCTCAGTTGTGAGAGCTGCTCCGACACACACAAACTGCGGGATTCACCTGGGATGATGACACTGTGATATGATAGAACTTTCCTCGTCCGCCCTGTGGGATTGCTCTGACGAAGAAAAACTTCCGGCCATCCTTGGAGAATACAGGCTCTTCATTCTGTGAACAAAGACAAGGCGTCCAGTTAACACAGCATGCCTGATTATTCTGCAGAAGGCGAGCGGGACACAGTGTACCACGGGTTCATGTTCTCTGTGGTTTCTAGAGAGAGAAGCTGTGGGGAGAAGGATGCTGTGAGGGTCTTCTCCTTCCTTAGGAAGCATGAATCGAACTGCAGGTTTCATAAAACAAGAGAGAGGAACAATGGGGAATTAAGAGGCCACAGTGCAGACAGAGGTAGACAAAAGAGCATCCCTTAGTCTCCAAAGCACAGCGGGAGGAGGGATGTGTGTGCGCCCCAAGCTCTCCTTGAGAATAGGCATGCGCCTCCCCAAGGCACTGCTGCTCACTCACCCCGGGCACGCCCCAAAGTTCTGCAGCGGTCTTGTGACCAACCAGGAGGGGCACCCCAAAGATCCAGGAGGAGCACCCCAAAGCTCCAGGAGAAGCAACCCTGCAACATCCCAAACCTGATTTTGTCTACAGCATGAATTCTCTTCCAGTCCTGTCTTTATTTTTCCCTTTAACATAACCCATTTTCTATTGAGTAGCTCATCAAGGAGACAAGGTGAAAAGTGAAAAGGTTGATATCCCTGAACCCTAACGTGTAGATCAGAGGAAGGAGCAGGAGCCTGCCCGTGGCCACCCACACGGGGAGGGAGGGTGACCTAAGCTGGCACTGACGGGCCTGCGGTGCGGGTCCACCTTTGCTGTTGTCTGGAGACAGAATCGCATTCCCGGGATTCCTGGGGACCAGGCCTCAGGCGGGGTGTAAGGGCACAGGAGGGCAGCCTGGCTACCACCTCTGCCTGGCCCCCCAAACCCAGACCAGCCAGGCGCCAAGCTCCAGCAGCCCTGAGCAGGGCGGCTGCCACTCCAGCGGTCAGAAATGGTTTGTGCAGCAGCGGTGGTTCTGCACTTCAAGTTCGGAAGTTTCCATCCGTGAACACCAATTAGTTGGCTATGACATACATTTTCTGATTCAAGAGGCTCCATGCTAAGGTGGGGATGAGAACAAACGGTAAATAAACCTCAGCTGGCACAAGGAAAACTCATTTCCGTGCAGTGAATGAGTACATGCAAATACGATATGCCCAGAGAAATAAACTAACGTGTGATTAAAATGACATTTAATCTTCATGAATATTTGCAATAAAATGAAACCTTTAATCTGCAAATATTGATTTTTTTTTTTTTTTTTTTTTTTTTTTTTTTTTTTTTTTTAAATTTTTATTTAAGGAGAAAAGAAAAGAAAAAAAAACAGTGAAGGGTACAAGTTATACAGATTTACAGAAGAAAAAAATGCGCAGTAGGAGATCACTAGTTAATAGATTACATATTGCCATCTTAGAAATAATTGTTCAAGTCACAGAATTAAAGTTTGTAGAGTGGACATTCCAGCAATGATACTGCAAACAGTTCTGTTCAATGATCCATTAGAACTCTGTGATATCATTTTCTGTCTTATACATTTAAATATACATGCAGTTATATAGTTTAGAGCACTTTCTTTTCCTCTCTTTTGTACAGTGACTATTACACATTTTGGGTTTCATTGCTCCCACTGTTCTTATTGCTTTTTTGGAAGAGAGTAAAACCAAATGTGACATAACAGAACAGAATCGGTCAAGTCAAAAGGGTGATTTTTCTATTTAGAGCTGGGAGCGTGGTATTTAAAAGGAGAGAGTGGAAAGACCAGCCGTTAATTTGTCCCTTTGCACGCTCTTCTGTTTGCTGACAGCAGGACAGACAAAGGATGTTACCCCAGTTTTCTGGGGGGAATGTTTGCACTCTGGGCAGGGATGAAGTGTAATATAATTAATTCTGGCCAGAGGCATTGTGTTTATCATGAGGAGGCCTCCAGGTTCTGATGTTATCTTTACCATGCACACCAGGAAGGCGTCTGTGTTCACCTCCCTGAGACTCAGTTTCTCATGCTTAGACCTAGTTTTAGTGATAAAGTAAAGGGGCCTTGGATTGAGTGCTGATTCTGCTTGTCTTTGGAATCGAGGCAGCATTTCTAGTCTCACATGGTTCCTGCAACTCCATTCAAAGCAGGTGTGTGAGGATCGAGTCCTTTACATCCATCAGAGCTGCTGCCTGAGCTACTGGGAGAGTTCCTGCCAGTTCTTCTCACAGTTTACGTGTGTTTGTCTTCTCCAACCTCGCAGGCCAAATTGTGATGAATTTTGAAATAAAAAATTTGGTGAAAGAAGAACAGTTAGAAGTCAAACCATAGGACATAGCACAAGCAAGCCAGCTGCTGCGGGTTCCACGCCCGTGGTGTGAGCAGTGATTTTGGGTCTCGGTGACTCACTTTCCGCCCAGCACAGCAGCGATGGGTCTGTGTGTGAGGAACGAACTGGAGAGGGACCCGGCAGGCATCCACACACATCACTCCTTTTCAGCTCCTAGGGAGCTCTTGGGGATCCACATGGGGGTTGGGGAAGGGGATGGAAGGAGAGAGAGGAGATGGGGCTCAAGGATGTCAGCATAGCATGAGGACAGCTTAGCACAGCCCTTCCCGCCATCTATAGGTGATCTGGGACTGGCTGATGTGAGCACACAGGGTCTCCCTGGGCTCTGCAGGTTTACCAGATGCACCTAGGCAGGGATATTCAAGGCAGGCTCCTGTGACCCGCTAGAGATGGGTGGGTGGAGGTGCCATGGCAAGGTCCCCATTCAGAAGTCCCCACAAGCCCCTGAGGAGAAATACTCCAACCCGAATAGGTAGGCAGCAGCTTTGTGGCCTGGCATGGCAGGCCCAGCCAGACATGAGCTCCTAAACTGCAGGATGTTATGGTGTCCCAAAGGAGGTGAGGATAATGTGGGAGATCTTTGGAAAGCTGAGTCCACAGAGTCCTCCAGGAAAACAGGTTTTAATGAGAAGCTGCTTGAAACTGGCCCTTCCGGGATGAGCAGGACCCTGACTTCCCTGCGGCCCTAGGCCTGTGGTCTGCAAGGTGGTTAGGCACGTGGGGACCCTTGCTGTGCCCAGGGCGGACCACATCTAACTCACGCTGAAGGAGGGTTCTTGCATCCAGAGGCAGCTCCTCCCAGCACACAACACAATCCCTTATGCTCCAGACTTCATTGTGTAGTTTTTAGTAGTTGTCCCTTAAGCAGTGAGCTGTTTTTTCAGTAAACACTTCACAGTTTACATTTCAAACCCGTAAGAGTGGTGATTTTAATTCATGGTACTCTTTAAGGCTTGCTTTGAATTTGGTACTCTTTAAGGCTTGCTAGAAATGACCTGGCATCTTGAATCCCAGGCAGGCTGTCCCCTTTGCGGGGCTGGTGTTCTGTCATGGGCAGTGGGACTCACAGGGATGCAGAAAGGTACACTCTTGACCCTGGCTCTGAGGCCACTCGGGCAGGGGAGGGAGAGTACACAGCTTGTCCCTGGTCCAGAGCTTGCAAGCTGCTGCCCCCTAGGGCTAACAGCTCACCAGCCAGGTCCCTGTGGAGTGTTCTGGGGTGGCACAGAAGCAGGATTGAGCATCTCTCCTTCCTTTCCTGTCTGTCCCCGACAGACACTGCTGGCCTTTCCTGGCACAGCCATCGCTGCTGTGCAGAACTGCCACTATCCAGGCAGGTGTCCCATGCTTCCCCCAACAGGTCACTCTGCTTTCCTGTTTGTCAGGCACCGGCACTGAGGCTCAGTTTTTGAACACATTTGAGGGTGCACACATTCCTTGTTTGCACACTTGGAAGTTTTACACACATCTCTGTTTTTTTTTTTTTTTTTTTTTTTTTTTTGTCTTTTTCCTTTTTATCGGTACCGGGGATCGAACTCACGACTGCCTGCTTGCAAGGCAGGCGCTTATGCCTCTGAGCTAAATCCCCAGCCCCCCACATCTCTGTTTTTAGTCCCAACTGCACTGGCTCAGAGCAGGCACTCGGCCTGATTTAGTCCTTATAAATTATCGAAGTAAAAATGATCATAGTAGAAAGTGAAAATGAACAGTTCTGTGCACTTAGTAAATTCACAGTGCCATGCTCTGTTGTGAAATCCTTTCATCACCCCACACAAAACTCTGCACCCACTAAGCTCTGCTCCCACTGCCTTTGCACCTGAAAACCTCTGGTTGGCTTTCTATATTCATGAACTTCTCTATCCTGGGCATTTCATGGATGTCTACACTCACTGTGGGTGGCCTTTGCATGTGGCTCATGTCACATGGCTCGTGTTCTTGCAGCACGATTCACAGTGCTGGAAGGTGGAAGCTCCCTAGAGCTGTCAAAAAATAGGCAAATAGTGGGGGTCCCTATGAGGGAGCGCTATGTGAGCCTGAATGCAGTGATACTGGCGCCTGCCACATACAACACCGAAGGGGCCTATTCACCTTTTACAGTAAGAAAAATTTAGATTAACAAATTATATGTATATGGCATAATATTATTTAAAAATACATATATTATGGCATGACCATGTCGAGCTAATTGACGTATGCATTTTCTCATATCCTTATCATTTTTCTGTGTTGAGAACCACAGGAAATCTATTCTGGTTGCTTTAAAGAGCAGAACACATTGTTATTCGATATGGCCACAGCTGTACTTCTGCCTAACTGAAGCTGTTTTTCTGCTGGAACAGACCGGCAGGGCTGAAAGAGGAAACTCTAAAGTGACGGTGTATGAACGCTAGGCTTCCACCTTGAGAGGCATGGCCCGGTGCTCTGCCAGGTCACTAATCCCACACAAAAAGGCAGCACGGAGAGTCAGGGTACAAGGATAGTCTTTTTTCTTTTTTTAAAGTACATTGTTATAATTTTTTTTTTTTTTTTTTTTTTTTTTTTTTTTTTTTTTTTTGGTACTGGAGATCGAACTCATAACCTCATGCTTGCCAGGTGAGCCCTTATGCCACTGAGCTACATCCTCAGCCCCACGAGGATGTACTTGAAGGACCATTGTTGATAGGTACATTGTCCAATTTCAGTTATTTCTCATACATAGGGTTTACCATATCAATAAAAACATGTCTGAACCTCTCCACTGTAATTCATTAAGACTCAAGTCTGGTTGAGTTTTCCCACAGAATTTTAAGGCAATGTCCCTTCCTTTAGGTGAGACAGGAAGAAAACAAGCCTCCCGAGCGTTACCCCTGTTCTAACACAGGAGTGTGGGAGGAGACCAGAAGGACTGAAGACAGGAAATCTCAGCCTGAAGCCTTTCTCTCTATGGTAAGTTTAACCTAAAGTTGTCACAGGCTGGGTTGCATAGGGTGTTCACCATCACTTTGTGAGTTTGTTTCGGTGGTGCTAGAATAGAACCCAGAACCTCAGCAGGCCACGCAAGCAGTCACCAGTGGACCCTGCCACCATTCCTTTCAGTCTTCAGTGCCTGCGTCCTGTTCCAATGTGCCTGTTCATTTTCCTGGAATCGAACTCAGAGCCAGGCAAGTGCCATGCCACTTAGCTATGTCCCCTGCGCCGTGCATCTCTCTGTATCTGAGCAGGGATGGAAACCCTGGGGGCAGTTCTGAGGAGTCTGTCAGGTCACAGAGGCATCTACTCCAGATGTTTTACCATCACAGACTAGATCTGGGCAAGTTCTGTGACCCATCATTTGAAGTCACCCCAGGGGGTTGCCCAGCTGGGAAGGAGGTCTCTGAGCCACTTCCGTTTGGCACAGAGCTGTGATCTTCCCACGCCTTCTGGGGACACAGTTTCTGCAGGAGCCCGAGGCTTCCAGGGAGGTGGGGACGAGACAGGAGTCCACACCCTTACCCGTTGCTGGGTTACTGCTCCTCAGAGCTTGGAGAGGTGTCAGAGTCCCAGAAGGGCTCAGAGGAGGGAAGGCAGAGATCAGGTGGAGGTGTTGGCGAGGACCACAAGGGGACAGTTACCTGTCTGTGGAGCCAGGCTTCACTTTCATCCTCGTGTTTCTGCAAAATGACATAAGAGCGTCAGTGTGGGGTTCTGCATGTGACCAGTGGCACACAAGGCAGTTTGGCTTTAACGGCACGGTGGACGCACAGGCATGGGGTGATGGGTGCGGGAGCGAGTAATCCTGTTCTGCTCTGTTTCTATTGTGGCTCAGAGCCCAACGCTAGTGTCCTCTACAAGAAGAATGCCACCGTCCCCAACAACAAGGGCAGTCCACTGTGGAGAAGAAGCCTTTGGAAGACGGTAGCATTTCTACCACTTGGGGTCACCACTGGTCAGTGTGTGCCCATGTGGGTGTCCCCACAGATGGACCAGCTCCCTCAGAGGCAGACTGCACTATGGGAGTCTCAGGGTGCTGGGAACTGAAACTGTCTGAGGTGCTAGAAGTCGTGTGGTAGTGGACCTCCCAGAAGAGCCTGAGCAGATGCCTGAACAGAACTAAAACAGATTCCAGCACAGGACACAGCTGCTGGGCACCACAGTGTGCCCCAAGGTCCCAAACCTTCTCCAGGTGGTGGCCTGACGGGGCCTGGGCCGGCCTGTGCCCCAGGATCTATACACAGGCTGGGCATGGGGAACAGGTGCCCAGGCGGCACTTGCCATGCTAGACCTGGCCTGTCTGTCCATAGACACTATGGCTTGGCAGAGTAACCTGAGTGTGCTCCCAGTGGCTTAAAAGGGAAGAAAATCCCTGGGCATCATGGTGACATTATTCCCAGGAACAAGCCTGTGACTTTCTGCCATCCTGAGGCAGCTCAGGGAGGGCTGCTTTATAGAGCCCTGTAGGGAACCTGCTTACCAAGCCTGGCCTGAGACTGAGGGTCCATCTTTCACACTCCATGCCAGGTCATCTGCTTCTCAGGGCTGGGACCCAGCAGTCTCTGCCTATGCAGGACCAGGCAGGCTAGTGCCCAGGCTGGGCTCCATATTGCAGTCCTCCTGCCTCAGCCTCCCAGAGGACTGGGATTACAAGCATGCATCACCACACCCAGCCTTTCAGTCTTTCTTACTTTCATGCCTCTTTACTCCTTTTCTTCTTTCACTCTCTTTTCTCACATTTGCTTCCTCTAAATACACATCACTGTGTACTCCTTCCTGGCTTCCAGGACCTGCCCATCAGTCAGGAGGGAGTGCCTGGCACTGGGGTGCGGTGGGGTGGGGTGAGAGCAGAAGTGGTTCTGGAAGCCTGGGCTCTGGCCTGAGCCAGTTTGCACCCCTCCTTGAGCACCATTTAGAGAACAAGATGATTCAGGGGCCCTGCAGCTGTGGGGCCGTGGAGATACCTCTGGTACGTGAGAGCACTCTGGTGGGAGCGCAGGGGTTAACCACGCCTCTTCTTGGCCAGTGGCTCCTCACAGTGGTACCAGATTCACCCAGCAGATGGCACCAAAACCAGAGGCCTGGATGCCAGAGCAGCTCTCAGAGGCAGCTCATGCTCAAAGGGGCTCTGACGCCACCTCCCCTGCTCCTTGCCCTCAGTCCCCTCCCCCGTACCTTTGTGCAGACCCCCGTGGTAGCATCACAGAGGGTCAGGATGGACACGTTCTGTGCCCGGTTCAGCCAGGTCACGGCGACCTTGGTGCTGGTGGCCCACTTCACCATGGTGATGTAGTACTCCCTGCAAACACACCAAGGCAGAGGTGAGCAGGGTGCCTGGGAGCGGGACAGGTTGTGCCCCAGGCTTGGGTCCAAGGCAGCCTGCAGGAAGGGTGCGCAGAATCTGAGTGGGGTTTATGGAGGATGTGTCTGAGACACTAGCGTGCACTAGGGTGAGGTTCTCCAATGTACCTCACTCCCGCTGGGCTGGGTGGCTGCTCCTGAGCTGGAGGTCACATGCCCGGCCTGTGGCCCACACCACAACACACCCCCACCGCACACCACACATAGAGCTCTATAACCCTAGGCAGGGCAGATGGGGGTGAGAGGGAACCTGGGCTTCTCAGCACTCCACTCTGCAAACCTGGGCTCTTCGAGGCTCTCTGCTTTTTTCTCTCATCCTTAAAGACAAATTCCCGGGGATATCACAGCTAATTAGGGAAACTGGTTCATACTCTGGGCTTCCAGTGATCTTGGCCTGATGACCTCAGTGCCACATGCTGAATTCTGCTCAAACCTGAAAATACCTTTGGGCTCTGTGCCATCCTCTATGAGCTTATGAGACTTCTGCCTTCTAGTGATTAATCCCAACCTCCAGAGCCCTCCAAATGCTGGCTTTAAAAGCTCCAATTTCATATTTAAGACCAAGAAGAAAATATGAAGAACAGGAGTGCCCAAAATGAATATTGTCAAGTGACTTCCCAGCTAACCTAGGCCAGCAATGGCAATGCTTTCAGAGGCAATTGCCCAGACCACAACTCAAAACCCCACATATTTATCTCAAAACACTAACACTGCAATGAAACCTGAGTACTGCTGAGGTTTTAGTTTAGAAAGAACAATGCATACATTAACATGTTTTGTCTTAAAAGAAAAACAACACACATGCCCTAGGTTTGCTACCACTGATCTACCCTGTCTCAATCTATGGTAAGAGCTGCCATCCAGAATGATTACCTGGTGGTCTTGCAGGATCATTATCACCAACAATGTGGTACATTCACCAGACGATTCCTAGCAAGCTGGGAAGGAGCTTCACTGCACTGAATCTTATTTTCACCCGAGGCAACTGAATACCCAGGTGCTTGAGACTAAGTCTCAGTTGACCAGGAAGCTAAGTTGCTGGGTGTCTCCCATTCCTCAGTCTACTTGTTAATTAGTGTTTTTGGCAAGTTTATCTAAATTGGGGTGCATGTAGTGAACATACCATCTCTGAGCTGAAGCCCCTGACTCAGGGGGTCACATGGCTTGGGGGCTTGGGGAACGGGATCCTTTAACATGTTTCACTGCAGCCTGGGACACTTGCTGAGGATGAGAGAGGTAAAGAACACCAGAAGAGCACACACAGAAAGGAGGGCATTGAAGAGTTGTCCAACTATCGCGATCTTCAGCCTTCCCAGTTAGGCGCTTTTTGGAGCATAGCCACGTCTTGGACGCATCTGTCCCCAGCCTGCACGCCCTGAACCCAGGGCGTGGCTCTAAGAGGCAGTGTGTCCTCTGCCATTCTCTCAAAGGTCTCGCTCTGCTGCAAGCTGCACTGCCCCAGGAGCTGGGATGCGTTATCACGATGGAATTGGTCATCTCTGAATATCTGCAGGTGTTACCGTTTTTAGGCGCTGAGTCCTTAAAGGTATTTCAAGATCAACACCCAGATCTTACTTCCCATGGAACCCTTTCACCTTTGCTGATGTCCTGGTTAGCCTCTGATTCCGCCTTAGATGGAGGCTGGCAGTCTGAAGTGCTCAGGGGATGACTGAGGGCTGACGGTGACCAACCAGAGCAAGCTCACGGGCTGGATGCTCTCTTCAGGGACCAGGGAAGTGGTCCACACCTAGCAGGATCACCTAATGACCTGCACTTACTCGCATGTACACCCTCCCTCTGCATGTGCTCTGGGAAGGAGGGAGGGCCTCTAGAGTAAAGTCCTTATCCATGTCCTTCACACGACTCAGTGACAGCCTGAATTCTGTTTCCGTTTATTGGAAGCACTCATCCGATGCTTGGTTTCCATGCTGCGCTTCAGCATGAATGAGCTTCATACAGGCCAAAAATGATCATGTTATTCTCAACTTTTCTGCTCCTCATTTGATAGGTGAAAGACTAGAAACGGCCACAGAGATTCTCTTTTGCCAATAAGTTCCTTTGGGATGGCTCTGGAGCAGAGCACCAAGGCACAGCACTGCGCTGGGTGCTGCTAGTTGCTCAGGGAGGCACTGAGAGCAATCGTGTGGCCCATGCAGCCACTTCGTCACTCACGCTGGAAGTGCCTGGTCACAAGCATGGAGGGAAAGCCACCGCCAGCCCAGAGATGGAGTGAGGCAAGGACATTCTCCTGGAAAGACCAGGACATTAGCCTAGAGAGGCAAGGACATTACTCCGGAGAAGGCTGTAGCTCCCATGGTGACCATGTGGTGTCTTTCTCTAATCACTAAAAGTTGTCCATTTAAATCTAGGAAGTGCCACGTCATTACCTGTGTGTTACAGGAGTCATGTGATATGAGGGGCAAAAGTAACAGCAATTGTGAGAACAGGTGACCCAACTCTGCCACATCCCCAAGGACTTCGGCCCAGAGGTGTCCCCACACATGATAATAGGGTTGCTAGGGCTGAGACTCCCCTCCACACTGCTCACTTTACACAGAACTCAGGTGTTCAGCTTCTCCACTCGCACAATACGAACTTAAAACATGGGTGTCACTTTAGAAACCGTTATGTGATGAAATGTGATAAACAGTCTTAAAATCTTTAAAGAGTAGAAATGATCAGGAGACTCCCTAAAGACTGATGACTTCCTCGTTGTCAGTGAAGGGGTGTCAGGGGCACCCCACCTCCATCAGTGAGTGTGAGCATCCCCTCACCTGTGGCTTCTGACCCTGGGGCCCATCTCCAAACCCCTGGGGCCCCTCTCCCTTCCCACCTTGCAGTGACCTCACCACTGAGGTGATTGAGTACGCTCATCTCTAGTCAGAGCTTCCTAACTTCACTGAGTGCTTCCATGACTACACTTGGTGTCAGATAAAAACTGGTTCTTTTTAAAGAAAATCAAGTCACCTTACAAAGACAAAGCATTGTCATCCACAAGGCCTTTTGGAGCACTGTGCATCACAGAGGTGGCACTGTGTGCAGGGCTCTTCTGTGGCTGTTTAGGGTTTCGCAGTCACTGGGAGCTGAGAGGCAGCTCCTACGTGTAAGGTCTCTGCCTGCAAAAGCTCCCGAGCAGAGTGCAGAAGGCCCTGTTCCTACTGCAGTCTGCACCAACCCTCCTTTGACACTCTCTGCCTAAATCCTACATCAGAGGAGATAGCCGTGGCCCCTCTGACAGCCAGGCCATGTTTACATCAATACCCTTCTGGCTTCTCCCAGGACTGTCCTAAACAGCACAGATGTAGTCACTTCAAGTACAGACCCCGTGAGCACCAGAGGTTTACAGCATGCAATTGGGAAAGGTTTGAGGCAGCCTCGGCTTACTCTGTGTTATCACAGCTACTAAGATATAAGAAAGTGTCATAGTGACACATGACACTAACAGCATTGGAGATCCTGACCCACAGCACAGATGGGTCCAGGCAGCCGCCAAACATTGCCCAGGTGTAAAACAGAGTGGCAGGAACACTGAAAGTGGACAGGGCGCAGGCTCCTCTCCCTTTATCTCCTTATCTCTGAGTGCTGGGCTTGCATCACCCAGAACCAGGGAGCCAAACCTTCACTAACGGGTGCGAACTAAGACCGTGGTTTTCATGTACCTGTCACTGTGGTTTTAATGAGTGTCCCCCACAGGGTTGGTGTTAAAGACTTGGTCACAGGGGAGGCTGTTGGGAGATGGTGGGAGCCCAGGGGGAGATCCTTGATCAGTGAGGACAGTGAGGCTGTTGTCTATGAGATCTGGGTTTCTTTCCCTTGCTACTTCCTGGATGCAGTGTAAGCTGTGTGCTCCGCTACATGCCCCTGCTGTGATGGGCTGCCCTCCCTGGAGGCCCAAAAGCACTTTGGAACTATGAACTGACCCAAGCTCACCTTTACCTCCTACATCACCTACAGCAGGCATTGTGGTGATGAGGAGCTGCCTAGTGACCAGATGACTTAGTATTGAAGGCACAGCCTGCAGGGCATTGGGCTGGCATGGGATGGCCTCCACTTCAGGCTGAGATGGACAATGTTGGCTCCAGGCCAGTATGGGCTAGTCTCAGCTGCAAGACAATATGGACTAGCCTCAGCTCCGAGGCTGCATGAGAGAAGGTCAAAGGCACCCAGAGGGCTGAGGGAGGGATCCTGGCGATGCACACCCCTCTAAGGTACAGGAGGCGCTCTCTGTGGGTGAGAACTAGGTCAAAAATGCAAGACAAAGGAAAGGGAAATCACTCTAAAGTAAAACAGGTCCTAAAATACAAGGTGTGGTAAAGATGGCGCAGTGGGGGAAGGTATCAAGGAAACAAAACCTGAAAATTAAAAAAATGAGGCTTAGGGAAGTTGAAGGAGGGGAAGGAGCCTCTCCAGGAGCCAAGGAAGCCCAGGAGCAGCTGGGTTCCCCCCACTCTGCAGACAGAGGCACCCAGTGCATGAGCAGGGGAAGAATCGTATACAGTCCAGTGAGAGTGGTAAACTAAAACATCCTGACAGAAACTGGGGTTATGGAGAAAAGAAATTCCACATCAACCCAGTAATAAGGAAAAACATTTTGATAAAGGATCAAGATTTAGGCTGATCTACAATTTTTCTGTCCCATGTTTATTGTTGTTCAACATCTCAATGTGTTTTCAAATGATTAATATCTTGTTTAAAAATAATTCTTCCTGAATATACCCTACACTGACACAGGAAGGCAATTCAATATTAAAGGCTCAACATTAAAAATGTCAGGGTATTAAAAACAATCTCTAAAATCAGGTCACCCACAGGCAGTCAAAAACTACTATCAATTGGTTACAAATGCAAGTAAGTTGTTAAGATAACATAAATATATTGGGTGAATGCTTTTGTAGAAGTATATACTCAGTAAATTTGGAGAGGAAAAATGAAAGATAA